AACAGGTCCCTGAACTATGCCGGGATCGGCACCATCATCGGGCACGAGCTGACCCACGGCTACGACGACTGGGGTGAGCAACCCCCGAGCCCGTGCCTGGGGTGGGCTGGGGGCAGCAGGCAGGACGCCCTGGTCTCTCGGGACCACCGATGGCGGTTGCTTCTGCAGGGGGACAGTACGACCGGCACGGGAACCTGGTGCACTGGTGGACGGAGCGGTCCTACAGCAAGTTCCTGAAGAAGGCGCAGTGTATTGTCAACCTCTACGACAACTTCACCGTCTACAACCAGCGGGTGAGACCACCCCTCTCGCCCGCCGGGCAATGGCCTGGCACTCACGGCCCCGTGGGGAGGTCCCCGCTGCTCCGCTGCTGCGGCTCTGCCCTGCCCGGCCCTGAGACCCGACAGCTCATCACACCTCAGCTGGGCAATTCCTCAGGGCACTGGGTGGGGGAAACTGATGCAGCGTCAGTGGCAGGGTAGGGAGGGGGGGGTGCCTGCCTCAGGGGTCCATCTCCACTCACTCCGTATCTCTCGGCAGGTGAATGGCAAACACACGCTGGGGGAGAACATCGCTGACATGGGGGGGCTCAAGCTCGCCTACTATGTAAGTGTCCCCCACCCTGGGGTGTCACAGCCTCGGCAGGGCCATGGGGCAGCTGCTGATGCCATCCCCACCATGCAGGCAGTTGGACCCCTGGACCCACCTTGCTCCTTGCAGCAGGGAGTGGGCCTGATCCTGCTGGGGGGCTCTGGGGGTGGGTTCGGTGGGCGCCCAGGTCGTGCTGAGGGCACCGCTTGTTCGCCAGGCTTACCAGAAGTGGGTGCGGGAGCACGGCCCCGAGCACCCCTTGCACCACCTGAAATACACCCACGACCAGCTCTTCTTCATCGCCTTCGCCCAGGTGAGCCCCTGCCCTCCCCACATGCGGCACGCACTGGGATGAGCGGGTCATCCCATGTGGGGCCACTGGCCTCGAGGGGTGGCGCGAGAGTCCTGGGGGACTCAGGGCCCACGGCCAGGAGCCGGGCTTGGCTCCATCAGCAGCTCCTGGGCTTAGGGTATGGGGCTCAGCCCTGCAAGGAGCACCCCGCACTGCCCCGCTGCTCCTGGGACCCCACAATAACAAACATGTGCCCCCCACCCCATCACCTCCAGAGACCCCACAGTAACAAATGCACATGACTCCAAACTTCCAGAAAACCCTACAGCCAGGCAGCTCACAAGCCCAGGAGACCCTACAATAACAAACATGACCCCACGCTCTCCCAACCCACCTATACCCCATACACCGACTCCTGGGAGACCCTACAATAACAAGCACAACCAGGGCATCACTGCCCTAGTCCCCCAGCAGCCAGTGGTGGGTGCCAGGACCCCACGAGTCCCTGTGGGTGCTGGGACCCGGGGTGCCCCATTTGGCTCACCCACGGGAAACTTTCCGCCCTGCAGAACTGGTGCATCAAGCGGCGATCCCAGTCCATCTACCTGCAGGTGCTGACCGACAAGCACGCCCCGGAGCACTACAGGTACCAGCCAGCCCCGAAATTGGGGGGCATTGGGGGTGCCAGCCTACCCAGGTCTGGTGGTGCTGTGCAAAGCATGGTGGGCATCAGCATGGCAGCAGCTGGCTCAGGGTGCGCATCCCTCGGGCAGGGGATGGGGTGCTGCCCCGAGAGGGGTGTGTGGCAGTGGTGGTGGGGGGAGCAGGGGGTGCCTGGCTCTGAGCTGCCCCCCTCTCCTGGCAGGGTCCTGGGCAGCGTCTCGCAGTTCGAGGAGTTCGGACGGGTTTTCCACTGCCCCAAGAAATCGCCCATGCAACCGG